AACATTTGGTCTCTAGTTGTGACTGTCAAGTGAAATTATATTCAAATAGGATTTCTACTTGCAGTAAAACAAAAATAACGTTCTCTTTGGCTAAAGTTCTTTTAAAGAAGCCTAAGTCTAAAGGAATTAAATGGCTATTCTCTGTTTGTTTGTTTGTGTGTGTGTTTTTTTTCAAATATATTCAATAAGCAGTACTAAAATATCTACTGTGTTTGTTTCCAGGTCCCTCTAAATGATATGTTTGGTTATTCCACTGAGCTTAGGTCATGTACAGAGGTAAGCAATTGTTTTAAATTTTACTTTAGTGCCCTTTAAGAGACTACTCTACAAAAGGATCGAATTTGTGAAATCTTGTCTTTGCATGACTTTACCTGATAGTAATAAAAAGTTTTTTTTAATCTCTGCTATTTTTTTTTTTTTAATTCTCAGGGGAAGGGAGAGTACACAATGGAGTACTGCAGATACCAGCCATGTTTACCAGCCACACAAGAGGACCTCATTAATAAGTATTTGGAAGCAACAGGTCAACTTCCTATAAAAAAAGGAAAAGCCAAGAACTAACTTTATTCATTTACATTAGCTAACTTTAACTGAATCTGCAGGGCTTGTATATGTTAATGGCTCCTGGTGGAATGAGTTCAGGCAGAAAGAAGAAATTTTAGAAGCCCTTTCTATTATATTCAGGAGCTCCTATCATATCAAAGTTAATTCTATGTATATATCAACTCTATTGAATGGTTTTATAGTTCACTGAAAAAACTCAAATAAAATATGATTATTACTGATATATATTATATTTATTTTAAGCGGGAAGAGACATATCAGTTACACGTCAAGGCTTAGAATGTGTGTAACCTTCCTTTCCAAATTTTTATCATAAGAATTTTTAACAAAGCAAAACTGAAAGAACCATATTCCTTCCATCTAGTCTCAACAATGAACAATTTTGTTAACAATTTGTTAATCTGATTATTTGTTTTGCAATATTTGCTTTATCTGTTTGTTGTCTATACCTCTCATACTTTTATATTTTTAATTTTTTTAAATTATTGTTTTGCTAAACACTTGAAAGTGAATTGCACATATCATGACACTTCTTGGAGTGTCATCTTTAACGGGCAGGCTTTTTTACTGAAGAGTAGGTGGGTTCCATATGGTCTTAAAAGAGTATGTTTTTCAGATTCTTCATTGGTATATTAAAATGCTGTTTTATGTGGAGCTGATTGTTTTCATTTGTGGGCTCTGCAAATGTGTAGCCGCCTTCTTTTAGGAGTGTTGATGTTTCTTTCTTGTGGTCCAGTGAGATTAAAAAAAAAAAAAAAAAAAAACAGGCCCTGGCACATGCAATTCTCATTTATGTTCATCGGAAGGTTTCTGCAGCTCTAAATAATGAAATACACGTTTCAGAGTTCCTGCCTAGTCAGTTCATTCATCTACTAAGTGCTAGTTGAATTTGGAATTTATCATATTATATTCACTGAGATCATGAAGGAACAAATGTTAAGCTTTTGTTTTTGAAATAAGTTGGATTTCCCTGGCAAGTCTACCATATTGTTCAGAATCACTTTATCCAGAAATCATGTGATGTAACAGACATATCCAAATTATTTCCCTTAGTGAATAATAAAAATAAAATAACAATTAAATTCCTTTGTTTCTCTTGATTTATAGATTTGGTTTTATAACTTAAGGTTTTGAGAAAAAAAGATTTTTTTTTACAAATATTGAGCACATGTTTTCAAGGCATTTGCTAAGGGCTTTAAAATGCATTATCTAATTTCGTTTTCACTCTCCTGTGAAAGTAGGTACTATTGGGTCGATTTTGTAATTAAGGAAGCAGAAGTGCAGAGAAATGTCTAAGACCACAAAGCTCACTCAGTTTTCAATTGATAACTTACTCATCATCTCAAGTGCATTTTTCCCGTGATATGACTGTTGCTACAATACCATCAAACCTGAAAAATGTTGCATTGGCATTTCATCAGCATCCCATGCCATTTAAAATCACAGAGAATCTTGTTCCTGAGGAAGAAATACTGTCATGGAATTTAGCACAGATCCTCTGGCTGATGCCAGCAGTCATAAAAATTAGAACTAAGATAGGCAGATGTTGATGTTTTTAACTTGTTAAACATTCTGGTCATAAAGACAAAGTGTCAGAAAAGAGCATAGTTATCTAGTCTCAACACCAACATTTCATAGGCAACGACACAAGTCCAGCTGGCAGGAGTAACTAGAATAGGATTTCATAGGGACAAATCGGGACCAGTACCTACATTTCTTGCTAACTCATTAGGCTATAGTTGATTAAAGACTACTTATCAGCGGAAGTCTGTAACGAGAAAGAAATAAATGGGGACTTTTTAAAATATTACAGTTGTGAAGGATGATTGTTGGTTAATTTAAAGAAAGACGTATTGCTTGTATTGAAGAATGGTAGCAATACCATCAATATTGCCCTGATTCCTGTCTCTACCACTCTTGGAAAGTCACCTGGGGAGCTGTGAAAGGAACACCCAGGCCAACCTCAGGTAGACTGATTCTCTGGATTAAGATCAAAAGTTTCCCAAGTGATGATAGTAGCAGGTAAGATGAAAGACCACTGCAGTGTTGCCTGCACCTTCAAGATGTGAAATGGAAGATTGGTTCAGATGTGTCCTATAACTAATATTCTTTTGTGTGATGTTAGAGCTTGGGCTAATTCTTAGTTTGATAACTTTACCTTAAAAGAAATACAGGCAATTTTCTGTTATACTTTCTTCCTTGATCACTCTCAGATTGTTTAGTTTTGAAGTTTTGTTAATTCTGAAGTTTTATTTTAATATTTTCAAAATATGGATGAGTCTTAAAATTTATGTCAATGGCCAAAACCGGTTTGGCTCAATGGATAGAGCATCGGCTTGGGAACTGAAGGGACCCGGGTTCGATTCCGGTCAAGGGCATGTACCTTGGTTGCGGGCATATCTCCAGTAGGGGGTGTGCAAGAGGCAGCTGATCGATGACTCTCTCTCATCGATGTTTCTAACTATTTCCCTTCCTCTCTGTACAAAATCAATAAAACATATTTTTTTTAAAAGATTTATGTCAATGAAACTTGGCAGCCACGAAGTAGTGGTAAATTATGACATGATAGAATATATCTCTTTGTAGAAGACAGCTATTTGCATTGCTAACACTATAAGTTGTTGAATTTGAGCTTTAATTGCTGCTTAAAGTGTTTTCAAATAAATAGCATTGGAATGCATCATTGAAACAGTTAAATGTATTCAAGACAATTTATTGTGAGCATTTATTCAAGGAAGTGCCAGGGAACATTTATTCAAATAAGTTAGGTAACTGTAGCACTCTGAAAGCCAACGAAGGTCACAGAATAGGTTCTAAGCTGAGAAAAAAATTGGTGTGATAAACTCGTGTCATGAAGAACTATCATTCAAGGGCAACTATAGAAACTTCCAACTGACCCTCAAATGAGAACTTGTTTAACTTCTAACAATTTATAATTCAGGTAAAAAATGAAACTGAGTAGAATCAAATAGAACGTAGACAAAATCCTGGTACTATTTGTACTATTATGTTTTAAAGTTCTGAAGGAGGCTGAGAAAATGAATGTGATACTGTATATAACTGTCATTGGCTCAGAGTGATTCAGAACTTAGACTTAATGAAAGAGGGCTTGGGGAATTGAGAGTTTTTCATGTTATGTCACAGTCAATGAAGTAATTTTCCTCTGAAGTAAGCTAGCAAAATCAATATTACTAAAATCAAACCAGCAATTTTTAGAGTTTTTGTTAGAAAAGATGTTCTAATGTAATACTGAGAAATTTTTAGTAGGTTTAAGTTTTGTGGGTCTTGTAAATTTACAAAGTAAGTAATTGTGTTTGTATGTTGTCTTTGTGTGTATAATTCCCCTTCATAATAAATTTCACTGAAATAAACTGTTAAAGGGTTACCTTAGAGTTCTTACCTGCTTGAGTGATGGTTATATTTGAGTGTAATCTCACTAATTAAAAATGCCTTTATGAGGGTGAGGTAAGACTGGAAAGCTGAAACCCTTCTAGCCCTTAAGCTAAAGGTCACAGGGCATTGAATATGCCATTCCAATGCTCTGGCACCATTTTTTAGCATTATGTAGGGAACTTCAGTTAGAGGAGTTTATCCTTTGGTTTTGGCATGATTTAATCATCATAGTTTGCTATTTTAGAAAAATATTTTCTCTGCGTTAGGACACAGGTGGGGAATCTGTGATGTTTTCTTTAAATGACTATCTCCCATCGCTTCAGAGCACTTACTGCTTTTTAAGTCGAGTGAATGTTGGGAAGATGAATGTAAAAGGTTGGGGTTTTAAACAGAAAAATACATAAACTAGATCTACTAAAAAGTAACAGTATCATCCATCTTTCATTTTGTAAGAATTCATGACTTTAAATTGTTTCTCTTCTGTGTGAACTTTTCCAATTTTCTGATAGGGTAGTCTTGAATGATTTGGTACATTTTAAGGCTGATGCTTCCTAACCAATTTATTAGCCAAAGAATCTGGCTTCCGGTTTTCACACACAAATGTAAGTGAACCATTAAGTGATACTAATTTTGAGAGGCAAGTGGTGGCTACATTTCTTGGACCAATCTGCCTACCTTTGGGGAAGTAGGTACTCCACTGAATCAGATTATGTACATATTGTGTCTGTTGTACATTTCCCCCCTTATTTAAATTTTAATGTTGAAAGTATTGTAGATGCCTCCTTTGTGTTTGTTGTTTTTTTCCCATTGACCCCCTCCTCCCCACACCCACCCTTCGCCACCCTGTTGTCTGTGTCCATGGGCTATGCACTTACATGCATGTAAGTTTCCCAGTTAATGCCCCCGCCATTGTTGTATTAATAGATGACTTAGGCCAACACTGGGTCCAAGTTGTCCTTAAAAGTTAAAATTGTAAATACTTTCTATGCTTACAGTTACATCACTGTCCCATTTAATACATGTTTGCAAGCACTAGGCTTTAACTGTGAGATGCTCTAATTTTATTTGTAAAATATGAATTTAACAATATTAAGAGTTCATTTAAATCCATCTTAGCACAGAATTTGCCTACAAATCTCCACAAATAGACTTAACACAGTTTATTTAGAAATGTAAGCATTTATTTAAAAGTAGCTATCAAGTTATAAAAGAATACTTGCTTAAGATCATAAAAATAGCACAATTCCTTTTAAACAGATAATATTTTCCCTACAGTTGGCTTTCATTGAAATATATTTTAAAAACACCAGCATCTTTTCATTGGTGTGCATCTCAGGCTTTCTGAATTATTAGGATGCCTTAGACATTGGCTATTTTACCAGAATAATGACTCAGGCTACTTTGTACAGTCATTGTGTTTAGAATTTGGGATAAGCAGGTCTTTTTCTTTCTTTTCAGTAATTGCTGAATCCCGTCGGTGCCACTGCTGATCCTTCTTCAGTTCCAGAGGCTTCCTCTGGTGGCTGCGGCTCCTGACAGTGGTACTTCACTTTCAGGGGTTTGCTCGGGTGCCAGACCAAGTGAATACGACAGGGAATGATTTCCTAAGAAACAGCGGTTTTAAAACATTAAGAGCTGCAAAGAATTCTGGTAAAAACAAGTCTGTGTAATGCTGTGTTTTACCTGTGTTGAGAATTCATGAAGTAGGACCGTATAGTCAAAATCAATTGCATCCTCGTCTGTTTTCTAGAGGAAGGAAAAAAAGAGTTAGTGTAACAGGTAGGTGTTTGGAAGGCTTATCTTATAAATTGGGTGGCTTCCTGGACTCTCCTTCCGTCTCTTGGATTTGAGCCTTGTTTCCCTTGGGTAGAATCCTGTATCAACATATGCAAATCATGCATTCTTATTGTTTGGTCATTGAGTTCTATGAAAATCTATTGACTGTCTTGCTATACCTTTTTCTCTATTATGGTTATTGATGGAGGCGGAGGTCGGTGGGGATAGGGAGAACCTTTGGCAACCTTGGGAATTAGGTATGCATATGCACCTCAAGCTGATATTGTAGCCCTGATATGCCAGGCAGTCAGACACGGGGCAGGACAGCCAGTCCTTTGCGGCTGCCACACGGACCAGGTTCTGTGCTAAGCACTGGAGTCATGTTTTCATGTAATTCTGACTGCCTCACAAGCCTGATTTTACAAGGGAGATAGCTTGAGGTTGCAGCTAGAAAGTGACAAATGGGGATTGATTTCAAACCCAGATCTATGGACTCTGCCTTCTACACTGCCTCTTCAAGCAGTGCACTGCTTATTTGTAGAGCGACAGGCAGTCTTCTTGTTCACTTGGTTTCTGTAAATTTTATTAGTAGCTAAACCATTTTCCTATTTTATTTTTGACACTTCCTGGTTTGGGGGTTTTTGTTGTTTGTTTTGTTTTACTTTTAAACTTAACGTGTTTTTCAGGTCAATGCCTTTTTAAAAAATATATTTTATTGATTTTTTACAGAGTGGAAGGGAGATAGTTAGAAACATCGATGAGAGTCATTGGCTGCGTTTTGCACGCCCCCTACTGGGGATGTGTCCGCAACCAAGGTACATGCCCTTGACTGGAATTGAACCCGGGACCCTTCAGTCCACAGGCCTACGCTCTATCCACTGAGCCAAATTGGTTTCTACAGGTCAATGCCTTCTTATTCTGTTTTTGCAAATAGCATTTCTGAAGGAAATCATGGCTCTCTTCAGATTTGAGGCAAAAAAACCCCCACAAAACAGGCAAGGCTGGAAACTGGGATTCCAACTCCATTTGACAAATTATTCTGCTACAGCGTCACCCATTTTTTCATACAAAAAATTGGATTATTATAATGCTTGGAAACCAGGTACCATTTCATGAAGTCCCTCCTCAGTGAGGTCACAGAAACAGACCTTTTCTCTTTTTATGGGTTGTTCCTCCTCCAGGTGAAAACACCCTGAAACCAAACCAAACAGCAGGGCTTATTGCAGAACTACAGAGTACACCCCAGCCAGCAAGGTATTCCAGGGTTAGACTGTCCTCGTCGAATGGAGCTCTGCCAAGAAGTCATTATTTTTAATATTATTCAGAAATAATCTCCTTGGCATCTATCCAAATCGTCACAAAATGCCCAATCATTATAGTCCAAATTGATGATGATTTTCTGTGTCATTTTCTGGTAACTCAGCACTTTAATCTTCCTAGAGGCAGACTGGAAGTATTTTGTTTGTATCCTTTTACTTTTGTGCCACCCCTCCCCCTCCACCCATACCCAAATCCCCCCAAAAGAGAGTGATCCTTAGAAGAACCAGTGGTTCTAGTAGAGAGTGAGAAGCTCAGGCTATTACAATAAAGTAGACTTCTTAGCTGAGTAAATAAGGTAGATAAGATATTTCTGTAATGTGCCCTGGCCATGGGGGGGCCTCTTTCAACAGCAGGACTTGAATTGATTGATAGTGACGGGCTGCAGGTTTGGGTTGCTGACAATGTCTGGTATTGATAAGAGTTGGAATAATGCTCAGATTTGCTTTTCTCAATTCGTATTAAAGGCAAGAAAGTCCTTGTCCTTTTTCTTTTTCTCTAGTCAGCAAGTATCTCCCCTGCCCTTGGCATAGTCCTCGTGGTGTTGGGAATGATATCCACTGTTCGGTTCTAAAGGTTTTAAAGCTGTAGCTGTGCCAGTAAGATGGTCTTACATTTGTATTCAGTCATTCCTTTCTTACCCAACATGCCCCTCAAACTTTGCTTATATGAAGCTGTGGGTTTATGAGCCTGCACTTCCTTACACACTTGCATAGAAGTGTGAGTTTAACCCTAAATGTAAATATGGTAATTCCTACCCAGAAAGCATTTGGAAAAAAAACAATAATTCCTATACTTTCCAAGCTACCAAGGGCCACAGAGCGCCTACAGTCACTTGCTGTTTCTGCACTGGATGATCGTTGCTTTATCAGCCCTGTCATCCTGCTTCTAGTCTCTTGGGACAGTACCTAGATCTTCAGATCTTAGTGACTTTTTAAAAATTGTTGCTTGCCCTACCTGATTTGGCTGAGTGGATAGAGTGTTGACCTGTGGACTGAAGGGTTGTGGATTTGATTCCGGTCAAAGGCATGTACCTTGGTTACAGGCTCTATCCCTGGCCCCCAGTCAGGGTGTGTGCAGGAGCATTTATGTTTCTCTCTCTCCCACACCTTCTACTCTAATAATGGAAAAATATCCTTAGGTGAGGATTAGCAAAATAAAATAAAAATTATTGTTTGCCCTGGCTGGTGTGGGTCAGTAGGAGTGTCATTCTGTACACTGAAAGGTTCCGGGTTTGATTCCCAGTCTGGGCAAATGCCCAGGTTGCAGGTTCAGTCCAGTCAGGAACTGTGGTTGGGGAGCATGTGGGAAGCTACCACTCTGTTTCTCTTTCTCTTTCTCTTCCTCTTCCCCTTCCCCTCTCTCTAAAATGCAGTGAAAATCATTGCTTGTTGTTACGTTGCTTCTTTTGCTGAAAGATCACAGGAATCTTTAGTGGCCACCGAATGGCAGAGTTTAAAAATACCGTAAGAGAATTCTAAGCTGAAATGGGTCATCAACCTTGAAACCCAAATTTCCCAATTCAGTGATTTAGATTTATGCTAGCTTCAAGGACTTCAGTAAATGTGTAAATCCTCCATTAATGGGCCCTAAGAGATGAAGTGAATTTGTCTTGGGTGACCCAGCAAGTCAGTGACATATTCACTTATTCATCTAAAACCCAAACCCCGCAATGCAAGAAACTCAAGCTCCTCATCTGGGACACTGTTTCTGATGAACCAGCATTTTTGTTTTCCATGACTCCATTGTTCCTACTTTCCCACTTGCAGGGCGGTTGAGGGACATGGATAGACAGATGACGGGCCTGGCTAGAACAGAAGAGAAACGGGCTGTTCCTGCACTGTGGTATGTCCTGGCACTTAGTTTGGCATTGTGTCATACACAACTGTAGGAGAAAGGGGAACCCTGACATTTAAAGATCCTAATTTTCTCTCTGTTGTCTCTGTGTTGATTGGCCCCTGTTGAGTTTTCCTCTCATTATGTCCTTGAATTCATTATCGTGGCTCCGCCTTCCACACTGTAAACAAAGTTTCCCCTGACTTCTCAGGATGGAAGACTAATATTAAGGATAGAAATGTCTTGGGAGATGAGAAAGAGGGAGAAGGTTTTATCTAGTTATATAGAAACAATCAATTCAGTGGTAATTTCTATTTAAAAAGTACTATTTAAAGGGAAAGAAGTTGTTCATTTTGATGAGTGAAGAGGAAAACTATGTATGTAGTTGTCCTGCCAACAGGTGGCCTCTGGAAGGCCCACCAGCGTGTTATGGGCATTCCTAGTGCTGACGTGATGCTGGGCAGTGCCTTACACTCGCAGGAGTGCAGGATCCCTCCATGGGTGCAGGCACCAAGGAAGTGAGTTTTAGACATTGACTAGAGTACTTACGGTCAGCTCAGCTTGCCTCTCACAGTACTTAGTTCTGTTTACCCTGGAAATGTCTCTCTCTGCATCACACTTGGCTGACAAGAACTCCAACCCTGGCTCACTCCATGCCCTCGCCACCCAGCCGAGAGGGACTGGTCCTCCTCTAACTCCACGATCACAGATCTCCCCGGGGCCTGCAGAGCCTGTGATGCTGACATCCTCGCACTCCCAAACCTGTCTCACGCTTACTCGCAGCTGGTGGCTGCCTCACTTTTCACTTAGAAGACAGAAGCCATTGAAATAGAACTTCCACATCTACCATCATGCCATCCGCCCTCCTTCCAGCATCTCAGTTTCTCTTCTCCACCTCCTGCCCTGTGCGCTCTCCATGGTCCTGCCTCAGATCATCTGGATTGATCGTACCTGCTCTTGCCTGCTCAGAGATTAACGCCAACAATCTTGTTCTTCCAAATCCGTTTTGCCCCCTCTCCTGCATTTTTCTCATCAACATATAAACCTGGTAAATCTCCTAAAATACAACTGAAATAAACATTCTTTCAACTCTTTACTTGCCCATCCTCCAGCTACAGCCCTTCCCTTTCTTTTGCTCCTTTTATAGCCAAACTTTAAAAAGAGATGGAATGTCCATTTCTCCCCCTATTCTCTCCCGAGCCCACCCCAGTCAGGCTTTGCCCATGCTGTGCCGTAAAGACAGCGTGGTAAGCTCCCCATTGACTTCCCACTGCCTGAATCAAATGGTTAATTCTCAGTCCTCGTCTCACTTGACTTTCCATCCGCTTTTGATACAATCAGTTGATCCTCATCCTTGAAACACTTTTTCTGTCTTCAGCCTCTATTGTTAGAAGTGTTCCAGGGCTCAATCCTTACGTAACTTCTTTTCTTTTCTCTGTAACACTCATTCTCTGTGCTATCCGGTCTCATGGCCTAAAAAAAAACACCTACAGGGTGGCGAGTCCAGCCCCGACCCTTCCCTGTATCTGAGACTATTATGTACAGATAACTACGTGAACTCTCTACTTGGACATAGAATTTAGTATGTCCCACATCAAGCTAGTTTCTCCCCAATTCTATTTTTCTGTAGGCTTCTTCAATCAGTTAATGAAATCTCTCTCTCCAGTTACTCAGGCCAACATCCTACAGAATCACCCTCAAGCTTTCTCACCCTCTGCTGTCCGTACCCAACCCATCAGCAAATACTATTTCAGTCAGTCTTCAGAATGTATCCTCAGTCCAACTGTCTCACCACCTGCACTGCCACCCCCTGGCCCAGACTCCCGCCAGGCCGTGCCTGGATTATTGCAATGCTTTACTGGCCGTCCTGCTTCCACCTTCTCGTCTGTACAATCTGTTCTCAACAGAGCAGCCAGAATGATCCTATTGTAAGTCAGATCATGTCACTCCTAAGCTAACGTTGCATAATGAGAGAGAGAGAGAGAGAGAGAGAGAGAGAGAGAGAGAGAGAGAGAGAGAGAGAGGGATCTAACAGCCTCCGGGCCTGACATGAACTGGCCCCTCCTGGCCCACTCTCCCTCACCGTTTCCGCCACACTGGCTCCGCTGATCTCTCTCCAACTCATCGGCCCACACCAGGAAGTCCTCTTTCTTGTGGAAGCAGGCCCTCTCTCACTTCTCCCTCTGCTCCAGTGTCGCTTCTGCTCAACTCAGAGGGGCCTCCTTTAGACTAGACTTGATTTTTCTCCACAGCACTCACCACCATTTGATACATCTTTGCTTGTTCATCTGTTCACTGTCTTCCCTCACTAGAATTCACCTCCCTGTGTTTTCTGTCCACTGCTATATCCGTCCCTAATACCATGCCTGGCCCATTGCATGCATTCGAATATTTATTGGATGAGTGAAATGCAATTAAAACTCTTGCCGTAAAATTGGAAACTCCCATCAATGTAGTCTAAGCACACTGCATTTGGTTTTATCTCTTGTGGCACAAGTTAATTTTCCGTTTTTCTTACCCACTGCTGCACACTGCTGAGCTGTGCCATGTAGTAGTGTAAGAACTGCGTTGTCTTTTCCCACATCACGTACGAGCTGCCAAGAAAAGCTAAGTCCCAGATGGGTATAAGAGAGGGATCAATATGTCCATGACTGTCTGAGAACACACAGAAAAAAAAAAATGGTATTGAGCATTTTGGGAACAAAACTTCAGAGATTTCAGCAATTAAATCAGGGCTTAGTCATATCAGTCATCTCTCCCACAGCAAGGCATTTAGCAATATTTGTATCTTTCTACATCATACTGAGATTTACGTGCTTCAAGTTGCTATAAGACAGTTTCGTGGCTGTGTGCTGTACTATATAAATGCTAAGGAAGCTATAATGATGCTCAGAATTAATCTAATATCTTGTAAGTTGAGAAGCCTTTTCATAGTTAGATCAAAACATCTCAGTAATCGTCAGCACATAACCTGGTTTGGGGTCTACAGTCATAGGAAGTTCTCTGCCAATCTGCCTGCCATCTTTGTCCATTTCTGGTAAATGCATTGGCAACATTTCTAAAACTTTTTAACACATCAATCAGGGTTTTTTTCCCTGTGGCATTGTTTTTGTACCTGCAATCTTTTTCATTCAGCAAACATTTGCCAAAAAAACTCTACTTACTGTCAGACACTGCCACAGGGAGGGATACAGTGATTAATAAAGAACCTCTTTTGACTTAGGAACTCAGGTTTTAGCAAGTAATTTATGTGATTTAGGAACTCACATTTTAGCAAGTAATTTCTGATCGTGGACTCGTGAGATGAAAACCCATTAGTGGAAAAGAGAAACTAGCTACACTGAACACAGTGACTAGTGAGGACATTTGAAAGTATAAATGCTGGTGGCCCTGTCCCATAACCCAAAGAAGGACTTCACCTCAGTCCCTTTCCTTCGTCTGCAGGATACGGGGCTCATCTAATGGAAGTGTATGAATTCATTAGAAAACGTGAAATTTTTACACATAATAAAATCCAGACAACTCTTTTTAGGAGGAAAATTTTGTGGAGCAAGGATATCCTGAAATGGATTTGACGGTCTCACATCAATGGTAGAGAAACTGCGCTACCATGGCCCAGAACTGTGGACCGATTAATTGCTCAGGAGAATTCGCTGAGATTGGAACTGGCTACTCCACGGATCTCTCCATGGTTTTTATTCGCTTCGTCTGAAGCCAAACTCTTTTTTCTTTTTTTTTTCTTTTTTCAGTTCTAAGTAGATAATTTTATATACTTGGACAGGCTATATACAGCACCATTAAATGTCTCTGCTAAATTGAAAGTGACAAGAAAACTTGTAAATTTTGTGGATGGAAAGATACCTTCTGTTAAAATTTTTTTTTGATATTTCATAGTAGCCACAGTGAGTTGGCCTGTTACAGAACGATCCTTGTGGGCACTCAGGCTTTATTAACTAACCTGCGCTACTAAAAAGTGTCCAAAATCTAGTGATATTGTGGCAAATCTTCAAAGAAGATGTCCTATACATTTTTTAAAATTTGTGTTTTAAGGATGATATATAAAACCCTATTTCTACAACTAATGCCCAGGGGAGGGGGAAAAACACACACACATCTAAATAACTATATAAAGTATTTGCTGTTAGCCCATATATTTCAGGCAGTGCTAAGTAGAAGCAAATTCTGTAACATGGGATTTGAGTTGTTCTTCACAATTATTTGCAACAGGATTTCACCTCAGTCATCAGAGAGCTACAATAAGAGCTATCTGAGCTTCTGAACTTGAGGAACACGAGGATCTTAGGGACATTGCCGGGGCATGGACAGCTCAGGAATGGAGACCATGGGGCCCCACGTGGACGCGGGTCTGTCCCGGTCTCTGAGCGAACGAGTGAGCTGTGACGGGCTGTGGGATGGGAAGTGCTGCAGCGCTGGTCAGATGTCAGCCTTAATACCCCAGCGCAGATCCAGAGACGACTCTTGTGGTTTGGAAATTGAATTTGCCGGTAAGAGCTGAGCGTCCATGCTGCCCGCACCCTGCTGAGTGCCAGAACAGATGGGCTCTGCTGCACTCTGCTGAGTCACTCGGGGCAGAGGGCAAGTCTCTTATTAGAGATGGCACTGCTGCCCATTAGCTCTCGCTCTAAAATAAGATCAGCCCGACTCCTCTGCGGCCCCCCAGGAAGGCTCGCTCAGCCCTGGGACGGACGGCCACGATGGGCACAGTGCAGGCCCTGGATGGGGTCACCTCGAGTTTCCAGAGCCACCACCAGGAACTGCTAGCAGTGTCACTCCAGGTTCTAGACTCTCCCCAGAAAAGTGCACCCCTACATATGCGTCCTGTTGCAGACTTCTACCCATTCCTTGAAGAGAGACCTCCTGCCTTGCCCGGGTCCCGGAGACAACAGATCCTCCATTGTGCTGGAGGTGAAGAACAGGAAAACATACTTCCGAGTTTTGTTTAAATAACAAGGTATACCACGTTCTATGGTTGAACTAAAGTGCCATTTGGGGGATAAAAACTTAAAGGATCGCTCTTTTTTAAGACTTCATCATTTCATACACTCCGTGATAGACATCCCAGATCAGCTGGTCCGTACCAGGTATGCTGCTGACCTCCAAGGGGGTTTTGAGCTGCTGCATATGCTTGTAGAGCTGGTAATCCTCCTGCTGTCTTTGGCTCTTCTCCATGAACCGCGTGCAGGTGACATTGATGGTGGGCCCGGGTTTCTCATTCTTGAAAAGCACTTGAGCGGAACATTTCCCCAAATGTTCCTCGCCTTCCTGAAATAAAGAGTTTGGATTAAATAGCTGGGTTCTTTCTCCTCACCACCCCACTACAAAAACACACGAAGCTGAGAAGTTCCTTGTACACGGCAGGTAACTCAGCAGATGTAGTGGCCTTTGCTTTATAGAAAGTGTTTTTTTTTTTTTGTGCTCAGAGCTGAACACAGTTGTCCTTCATTCTTTGCTGTCATTTCAACTCCTGCTTCCTGCCTGGCCAGTGTGGCTCAGTGGTTGAGAGTCGACCCAGGAACCAAGAGCTGGCTGGTTCAATTCTGGGTCAGGGCACATGCCCAGGTTTCAGGCTTGATCCCCAGTAGGGGCATGCAGAAGGCAACTGATAGATGATGCTTCTTTCTTATGGATGTTTCTCTCTGTCCCTCTTCCTTCCCCCTCTCTAAAAATCCAATAAAAAAAGGATGCCCCAAAAACAATGCTGGGGGCATTGAAGAAACACCATCGATGCCCGTGAGTACTTCCTGCTCAAGCCCTCTCTGCTGTGGACCAACATGCCGAGTTGGACCTCCGGCTTTTTTTTTTTTTTCTTTTTTTTTCTTTACAGAGAGGAATAGAGAGGGATAGAGAGTCAGAACCGTCGATGAGAGAGAAACACTGACCAGCTGCCTCCTGCATACTCCCTACTTGGGATGTGCCCACAACCAAAGTACATGCCCTTGACCAGAATCGAACCTGGGACCTTTCGGTCCGCAGGCCGACGCGCTATCCACTGAGCCAAACCAGTTTCGGCTGGACCTCCGGCTTTCTAACTGGAACTCAAAGGTGAAGCTGGTTCCTATGAAAAAAAAAAAAAAAATGGCCACATCCGCATGCTGCCCTATGAACTCGGTGTTGTTTCAGTTTTACAGATGAAGATGCTGAAGTTTAAAGAGGAAGCTACTGCATGCCACACCAGGAAGTGGTGAGCCAGGGCTTGAGCTCATGTCTGTCTTGCAAAGCCCTGGCTTGGTACTAACTCTAAGTGCACTCAGATCACATCCGGATGAAGTGGGAGCAGAGGTCACCCACATGGGACTAATCCAACTGCCCTGGTGACCTCGCTGGGCCTGTCTGCGTTTACATGTAAATGTGCACGTGCTGAGCATTCTGGGATCAGCCTTCTGTTCCACCCAGAGACAGCAGTGGAGGGAGAGGGGGGGGTGCTTTCAGGGGACTCGGGTGTCTGACTCACTCCATTCACCCTTTTACAAAGGTCACACATAACCCCAGGGAGCCTCGTCCCAGAAAAATCCCATCAGCACGGTCTAGAATTTGAGGAAGTTCCTGGGCCACTAGCCACGGCCCCACGCACATCCATCCGTGCGCCTCGAGGTAAGAACTCCAGTGACCACGTGGCTGGTGAAGCTGCTGAATTCTTTTCACGTTTCCAGTCCTTTACACTGGGTGGCATTTCAAATGGCAACAACAACCCAAAATAAACTTGAAAAGAAAAAAAGCCCGCAAGGAAACAAACTGTTATTAAAATTGGATCTGCTCGTGGGCTTTCCAGCGGGCAACTGTTCCCCTGGTGAGCTCAGCGAAATGTCCGTGGTGCGTGAACATCCTAATAAACAGTTCAACGCGGAGGGAGAGAGAGAGGTGGCGAGCGTCAGGAAGAGGATCACCAAAGGCAGACACAGGCCCGTACACAGTCTGCTTTGATGTCAAAGCCATTTCCAAGGACGGGAGGGTGCCAGGTATCGCCCCTGTTTGTTTTCCTTTCCTCTCTCTACCCCCCAGATCAGCGCCGCGGAATCAAAGCTGTCTCCTCTGGAGATGAAAGACTCCCCACCCCCTGACACGGACACTTCAATTAGCGAGCGGTGCTCCTCAGAGACACACACTGCTGATCAAAATAATCTGGTAATTGTTCCCCCCCCTTCGCTTTAATCTGATGCTTTCAGTTTGCAGCTCTAAAGCGAAAGGCGTCTTCCTTAAGCTTTAAGAAACATTTTAATCCTTCGGTTAATTGGCAAAGGGAGAGCCTGCTGTTGTCTTGTTAGGGCTTCTTTCTGAATGCCGGCAGCGATGTTCCGGAAGCATCGGGCCGGGGGTCATGGCTGTCTCTCCCCCACCCGACCCCCCAGGTCTGCCACCCCAGACTTCAATGCTGGCCGCCACCTGCTCTTCCCTGGCTGCCTCGGCTCAGCACCACAGAGAGGGGGTTTGGCTGGTCTCCCTCCACCCTGCTGCCGCCTCCCAGCCCAGCCCGGCGCATGGAGGTTTGTATGTTTTCTGTTTACTCTCTTGAGGACGGGGAAAAGGGAAAAAGGAATTGGCAGACCCTGGCTGCCTGGTCAGATGTGGGGGCTGATGATGCACTGTCCCGCGCTGGGCCTCACAGAAAGCCTCTGGGTAAGGCAGCTTCTGGGGCTGGCCGCTCGCTCTGCGCTCTGCTAGCGAGAAATGTCACCAGCTGACGGCAGAGGAACCGGTTGGCATTTAAGAGTGAGTCATTCCGAGGCCTCCGAGGTGCTAGGGAGGGGTACCAGAGGGAGCTGTGATTCCCTCCCGGGGCCTCGGAAGGAGGGGTGATGCTGTGTGCGCTGTTGTCCATGCTGCCCCCCAGAAGGCTGTGACATGGCCGGAGTTCCTGCCTCGCTCTGCTCCTCTGTTCTTGAGAACAAAGGCAGGAAAAAACCCACCTCTACGTCAGTATGTGTTCGTATTCTTACTCAAAAAAATGAATTTGTACGAGTTGCTAATAAGATACCAATTTGGATAGAGGATCAGCCCCAAGGACTGAAGGGAGCCAGTTTGATTCTAGTCAAGGGCATGTACCTGGGGTGCAGGTTCGATCCCCAGCCCTGGTCGGCCTGTGTAGGAGGCAACCAATTGGTGTGTCTCTTTCACATCGATGTTTCTCTCCATCCCCCGTAACCCCTTCCACTCTCTCTAATCAGCAGTGGGGAAATATCCTCGGATGAGGATCAACAACAACAAAAAGACCCACGAATGACAGCAGCTTACCTTTGGGTTGTAGCGCTCTGTGGTGAACTCCAGGTCAACTTGGCATTCCTTCTTTGAATTAATCTGCAAAACAGAAACGGACTCTTAGCCGGTGGAAGCTCTGCTAACGTCTGCATATCCAAATAACCACTCTCCTGGGATAACGTGGCACCGAAATGGTTGCTGTCGAAGTCGTGCCTGAATAATACCAGTGCTTTTTAGGAGAAAAGGTCTCGTGTTTTGGTCTGATCCTGCCTTGTTGCTGGCTGGCGGGCACCTCCTCACGAGAGGGAGGCTGGGAAAGGGAAACAGTGGTGCTGAGGCTGGAGGTTGGCTGTGTGAGAGCAGCTCCAGGAGGACAGAGGTGTGTGCAGGCTGTGCAGGGAGGACCTGCGTGCCCCAACCTCAGTCCCGTCCACACCTGTCCCGGGCCCAGGGCTGCCACTGAGGGGGACAGGCCCGGTCTCCCTCCTCTGCTCCTGGTGGAACAGGCGTGCCCGGTAATAAATAATGGGCTTTCAGATGGTGATACAGAAGAAATGGAGTGGTGGGGCAGAGTGACTACTTTTACTCTTACAAGGTGGGATGGAGGAGAGGCTGTTCCATGGCACAGCCATTGCCAGACCAGAGAGCTAGGTCAGGGCCAGAACAGGGATGTCTCCCCTAAATTAAACAGACCAGACGTCCCGATTTTTAACAATTTGCCCCGTGTCCCTCGGCGTTTTAAAAAAAGTCCCGATGTTTCTTTCCAAAAACATTGGGACTTTTTTTAAAACGCAGAGGGACATGGGGCAAATTGTTAAAAATCGGGACGTCTGGTCACCTTACCCTAAATCAGAGACCGTCTGATGGGCTCTCACTGTGCTCACAACGTGCTGGTTCCGGCTCCGGACAAGCATGTGAAGCAGTTTCCGTCCTCTGACCCCAGCTCCCCATCCATCCTGCCCTGCTCCTTATAATTGGGCACGAGACTGGCCTCGTGTGTAAATTTCCCATAACAGACTCTGAATTGGCAGACTGGAGTGGCCTGCCTTCCTCAGTGTTCCCCGGCCTTCCTTACAGAGGTAGCTGTCAGTGGCAGGGCTTTTCCCTGTGTCTGTGGACCAGCAGGTGGTAGAGGAAGGTGCCTGGGAGGAGATGAAACATCAGCTGAGACCCAGGGGATGGAAGGAACCAGCCACCCCCGTGCTCAGGAGTGGCAGAGGGAGCTACCAGTGAGGTCAGATGTGGGACAGGAAGCACTGCCATCGGACCAGACCTCAGCTGCTAGGGTCTCTCCTCCCCTGGCAGCCTCCACAAGCAGAGATCCTTCTACACTTTGGAAATTCATGTTGAGCCTTTTTTACGCTTTTGAATTGGTTCCAATGCATATTTTTAGAGTAGATATGCCCAGACCATTACAGCAATTTAAACTGTTTAGGCAGCCTTTCTATTGTTTGCCATCTATTTTTTCTTTTTCTGTTTTCAGAGAGTTGCCTCCTGCACGCCCCACTCTGGGGACGAAGCACACAACCCGGGCATGTGCCCTGACCAGGAATCAAACTGTGACTTCCTGGTTCATAGATTGATGCTCAACCACTGAGCCATGCCGGCCGAACACCATCATCTACTTTTGTTGCTATCATTTTTTAGTGCAAAATGATCGTTCAGTAAAAGGAGAATTTTCTAGAGAAGAGAGCGTGCTGCATGGAGCTGAACTAGACCTGATAGCATCCGTTACTGTTATAGATTCTTAAAGGATCCCAGGGAACTGGAGAATGGAGGGATAGGATCCCGGGGAAGGTATTTATATAAAGAACATTTAACACATGCGTGTATTTATTAATGCTTCTGGGGGGGAGGGGTGCATCCAGCGCCCAGGAGCAATTTGCTTAGGACTCGTTTTCTTTTTCTTTTTTTAATATATTTTATTGATTTTTTTACAGAGAGAGAGATAGAGAGTTAGAAATATCGATGAGAGAGAAACATCGATCAGCTGCCTCTTGCACAACCCCCACTGCGGGAGAGAAGGCCCTGCCTTAGAACCCCGAGCCTGAGGCCAGGGAAGGATGAAAAGGGGTATTCCCAGCAAGGCTGCTTTGACGTTGGTTTGCTCCTGAAGCTTCCAACGAGCAGATGAAGGATAGAAAGGGCCAGTGTGTGACAAGGCTGCCCCCGGCGTCTGCCTCTGTCTCCTGGACGTCACTGTCCCCGCCCAAGTTAGAGAAACACAGAGCCCTCAGCCACACTGGCTCCCAGGACAACCCCTCCTCACGGAAGGCAGCCCTTCCTGCGGCCTCAGCCTCGAGCCCCCCTGAGTGCAGGCCTCTCACGGGAGTCAGGGACGCCCCTCGGGCTGCTGGTTGGGTGGATGGGGTCAGGGCCGTTCCTGAGAAGAGGAGGAGGAGGAAGGCGAGTTGGCAGGTGCAATCTTTGGTGCAGGGGACAGGGCAGCCGCCCTGAGGCAGCCGAGTGTATAGAAGTAGAGGCCAGCTCCCCAGGAAGATGCGCACGGGGAGAACTCTGAGGACCGGCGGCCTGCGCATCGGTATCAAACTGGGCTCGCCATCCGAGGACTCGAGGTGCTGACAAGCAAGATCTGATCAGACATTCCTGACTGGGCAGGTCCTGATACCCCCCTCTCCCCCCCAAGGCACGTACCTTTTTTTAGTAAAAGGCTTATCTTTTTGGAAGCACAGGGAAGCAAGCGAGGAGGGATGCGTACCCTCTGTAGGGGAGCCCGGGTGGCAGAGCCTGTGAGCTGCCTGCCTCGCCGATCTGATTTCCTTACTTCGTTTTAATTAGGCCTCTTAAAAGCATCTACATTTTGCTCAGAATAAGATGTTTATATTTCTGATGGCACTTTGTCCCCTATCAAGATGCAGCCCTTTTATCTCCACCGAGGCCTCTCCTCTCTCCCTTCCTCTGAGTCACAAGTTCCCCAGAGCCTGGCTGGTCTCCGGAGATAAGTGGCCTCTCGGCCTGCGGGCCTTCCTCGGGGACACGGTGTGCCATGTGTCTCAGGCTCCCGTTGCTTTAGGACTGTGCTCCACGCAGGTTAAAATCACTGTGCGACCAAGAGGTCTTTGTCCACCATCCGCCCTGGGACATGCTGGGTGTCCCCCTTTTGGGAGCGTGTCCTGGGTGCAGAGTCCCAGAACAGAAGGCCCTGCCCTGGGCAGTGAGGTCGGGAGAAGGACTGACGTAGGGCCCAGCACTGCGGGATCTGACTCTGGATGAGGTAAGAGCTATGGAAGGGTCACTGGAGAACGGATCCAGCCTCGGGATGGGGAAGTCAGCTGAACTTTGGGTCTGAACTCTGAAGATTAAGAAGGAATTGGCTTTGGGGCTGGGGTTGGGGGAGGGGAACTGGGAAAGGGTTCAGCACAGAAGGAGCAGATGGCTGGAGGCAGGCGGGAGGGCAGTCAGGGGCCCTCAGGAAGGACAGGCCCAGGAAGAGGCAGGAGCGGCCCCTGCAGGCTCCCGGGAGGATTTGTCCTCAGAGAAATGGGAAGCCAGGGGCCGGGAGGAAGCGAACTGAAAAGATTGCTCTGAGATGGAAGGTGAGAGCTGGTGCTGCAGCGAGGAGGTGTCCGGTGCAGAGCAGGGGCTGCAGGCGGCCAGGTGACCACGGTGGGGACTGCAAATGGAGAGAAGCATGTGGTGGGCAGACAGGGGTCTTACTAGGATGGAAACCAGTGGCTCTCAACCTTTCTAATGCCACGACCCTTTACATATCTGTGTTTTCCAATGGTCTTAGGCAACCCTGCTAGTGGTTGAGAACCACAGCTGTTAGAGCCTAAGACCATCGGAAAACACAGATATTTACATTACGATTCATTAACAGTAGCAAAATTACAGTTATGAAGTAGCAACGAAAATAATTTTATGGTTGGGGGGTTACCACAACATGAGGAACTGTATTAAAGGCTTGCGGCATTAGAAAGGTTGAGAACCACTGATGTAAACACAAACAGTTCTGTAATTCAAGATCAGAAATTATCGCTAGAAAGCACGTTTCATATTAGGACATTATTAAACCAACCACATTGAAAGGATGTTTGTGTTACAGAAGGCCAGCCAGCCAGCCAGCCTGCCTGCCGGGCCCGAGGGGACCACCATGAGCACTGCACGGGCCGCGATGCCAAAAGCTCTGAAGGCCATCTCAGCCCCATGAGCACCTGGAGAAACACAATCAAGGAAGCAGTGAGGTACCCCAGCACGAGGAGGCAGTGAGGTACCCCAGCACAATGAGCAGCCTGCAGTGAGTTAGAGAGGGCAGGGCCAATCCTTTGCCGGAATGGGAGAGATTGCTCCTGCGTGTCTGGTGGGAGGGTGCCCAGAGGCAGCCCGGGGATGGGAGGAGGGTGCAGTCTGGACCACAGGGTCAAATCAAGTTACCTGCACCCTCCAACTTGGCTACCTCACTGCTGGTTCTGTCTCCATGGAAATTGGCACAGGGCCTCATAAGGGCCTCACAGGAGGATGCTCCTGGAGGCAGAGTGTGTGTGTGTGTGTGTGTGTGTGTGTGTGTGTGTGTGGTGGGGGGGAGTTGGAGGCAATCTGGTGTCCCCTCCTGGGGGCAGGGGAGGGCAAGTAAACGGGGGGTGCCCGCCATAGAATGCCATGCAAACTGGCCACACATATGGCAACACAGACAGACCCTAAATGCTCTGCTTGAAAACAGAAACAACAAAGTGCATGGCATACATTTATTCAAGTTTGCACACAAACCAACAATGCCTTTTCTAGGAGCACTGCAGTCAGAATAATACACATAAGACCGTTTCTAGTAGTTGCCTCTGGGAGGTTGGGTGAATGAAAAGAGACATGAGAGAGAATAAATACACAAACAAGACAGAACCAAAAAGTTGCTCCCTCCACTTTGTACCTGGACCGCAAGCACAGCACCAGGCTTTATAAAGCATAGAACATCCCTGACCCACGTGCTTGAGTGTGGACCTATGAACCAGGAGGTCTCAGACTCCCCGTCAGGGCACATGCCCGGGTTGTGGGTTCAATCCCCAGTGTGGGATGTGCAGGAGGCAGCCAATCAATGATTCTCTCTCTCTCTCTCCCTCTCCCTTTCTCTCTCTGAAATCAAT